CTTTGGTTTTAGCAAGCATACCATAAACAATTTACATGGCTGACAAAACAGAGAGTGCATTTGCTGAGCCACTTAAAGCATCTTTAAATACCATCAGCTTTCTCTGCTTAACACTCAATATTCTGATTTTTAAAATAGTGTTGGGTTTTTTTTGTCAGTACGGTATGTTCTTTACTAGAGCTGGCAGTTTACAAGATGCAGTAAGTAACAGCCGAGCAAAAAAGAGACTCCACCTCAATATTTTTTAACCAATTCTTCAGATATACATGCCAAAATAATTGGATGGAAAAAAATCTGTCTTTTTTTAAAAAAAAAAAAGTGCAAGAGTAACACTTTTGCGCTGCTTTTCTTCTTCTTCAACTATCTGTAAAGCGACACCTCTTCGTACTTTTCCTGAACTCAGTAAAACTGCAGCACAGAATGAAATGGCAGGCAAGCGGGATGGGCCGCACAGCAGGCCTGGAGCCACCTCGGCGCACATCATCTTCTGGACGCATTGCAGTGAGTCCCTGAAGGCTTCTAGCAAATGAGACTCTATTAAAAAAAATGTAATTTAAGCCGTAACCTTCTTTGGGTAGGTGAAGTGATGTAATTTGATCTTTCTTATGCAAAGAATTCAAACAGTCTAAATGCACGCAGGTTCGCAAGGCCAGGTCTAGGGCCGGAGATTTGGGAATACAATACAAAAACCAAGCTGCAAACAGACTTCCAGCCTCATAAATATCTGCTTTACAATTACAAAGTGACAGCTGTGAAAATGTATCAAAATATTGGCTCCTTTTCCTTTTGTATTGTCTTGGATACGCTGTGATAAATTTAATTCTGTTTAAAATAGAAGAGCTCTGGACTGTGTTTTTCCTGAAACTGGCACTTGGTATTTTTTTGACTTTCCAAAATGTTTGCTTCACTCACGAACACCTGGCAGAAACAAACACGCACATCATCAATGCTTACTCTGTAATATGGTTAAGACTCTTACTTCTTCATGTCTAAAAATACTCATGCAAATATATCACAATTTATTGGCTAGTAATTGCATTTTAAAATTAAATCCTCATATGAGACACTGATCATGCTTTCACACCATGCTTCAGTCAAAATACAAGTCTTAAAGGTGAAGGGCGAAGAACAGCTCCAGTATCTTTATGCTGAAAGTCAGCTCTACGGACATCATTTCCAAAGGAAAAAAAATTGTCTGAATGCAGAAACTGAAATATGGTCGCTATGAAGCAATAAATTCATTGCACTTCTGAGAGTTGTAAGTCATAGGCAACCTGGAAGTTTACGATTGCTTCTAATTAGTAGCCTTTTCTGTACTGAAGTAATCCTGATATTTAAAAATCATCATTAAACATTTTAGACCCCTTTCTTAGGGAACTCCACTTTGCGAGTTAATAACCACAACCTTTGAATAACTCAGGGAAATACCGCTGAGGCTGGCTCCCCCAGAGTGCCCATAAGGACCATTTTGCCCATGAAATACAGGAAACAAAGCAATAAGCAGGATAGTAAACACCCAAATCCTTGCCCTGCTGATAGAGGGCCAAGCTATCCGCTCTAGCACAGGAAGACCCTTCGGTAACGAAAACACATCTCAGCCTCGCTCATGTGTGCCCAGTGTACTCCCAGTCAAGGGTACAACGGCCCAAGGGAGTTCTGCTGCTTCAGCTGGAGGACTAACAGCAGACCCTTCGGCTTGATTGTGCTCAAGCCAGGACTTGTGCAGGATGGGACTGAGGCTGTCTCTCGACATGCAACAACTCAACGCCTGCAGCATCAGAGCTTTGGACTTCAAATTAGAGTGAACACCACCAATATATCTGCTAAATATATCTACTGGTTTCTGCAACAAGCGGTGATACTGAGAAGTCAACCAAAGCCAATGGATAAAAGAACACCGAAAAGGAGAAAAATCAAGGTGGCCACACAAAATCAAATCCTGCCTTAACACACACAATTCCCACTGAAGTTTACAGGAGATGAGGACACAGCAGCGAGATGGAACTTCATCTACTGCCGTTGGCTCTGTACAACATCAAATAAATGAATCATGGCATCAGTTATTAATAAATCGATATATACTTTATTATGCACAAGAGACTAAGATGACATGACACTGTGGTTATAAAAACTGTACAACTATGCATTTCCACAAGTCTCTGAAATACTGAACGCAGTATGAAATACAAATGGGGTGTTCAGACTGGCCACAGGTATTAGCAAGAAAATGTCTCCCATTCTTTGATTTTAAAAAAAAAAATTCTTTAAGATCCAAATGCCAGATATCTCCTTTTTTTTTTTGTTTGTTTGTTTTTTTTTAAGGTGAGAATATTATACTTGGAACTGGTAGGAATATGGCAGCGAAGATCTGATAATACTATGAACATCCCCATGAATGACAAACAACAACAGGGTACAACAGTCAGCTCACATGAAGGGCTGTCAGCACAACCAACAGTACAGTCTCCTTGTGAAGCATGAGGTAGATATACGTAACAGAAAGAACGGTACATATAGGACAGAAATGGTTAGAAAACGGCAGGGGGAAGGTTACAATCATCAACATCTACAGAAATTTTGCAAAATCCATTTCCATGTGGAAAACAGCCTGACACAGAAAGATCTGACTTCTTGAAACATGAATATAGTCATGTCCAAAACCAAATGCTGTAAAAGAGTTAGTGATTAGACAACGCATGACACAACAAGCAGTCTACTTTGGAGTTTAAGTACGTTACTAATAGCTTTTACAGACAGAAGGTGTCCCTTTTAAGCCCAATCCTCCTGTTCTTACATAAGAAGTTCCTTCGCAGTCGATTCCATCACGCTGAACTTTACCACCGAGTCCGTCCCTCCGAAGCCCTGCTTTAAAGCCCTCTGCTGGGCCAGGAGCGTCTCGCTGGCCTTCCACACCCTGCGGGTATCTGCCACGTGAAGTCCAGCGTGGTGATACCAGGTTTGACAGAGGTGGGAACCAGTAGCTTTGTGGTTACGCATTGAGGAGCTTGCCACACCACGCACACAAACTTGCAGTAGAGACAAATGGCTGCTATGAAATAGAGCTTATAGGTGTATCAGTACTCTGGACTGCAGGCAGCGTAACCGCTGCTGGAAAGTACTATACATTTTTTATAATAAAGCTATTAACTGGGAATGCCCGGGTGTAGTTCTCTCTCTCTCCTTCTCTCTCTGTTGAAGCAGAAATGGCTGTTCCATCTGCTAAGTAATTACATGAAGTTTTGGTAACCTCCAACAGAGAATTCATTCAGACTGATTAAAGTTTCTGAATTAAATAGCTGAGCACACCAAGTTCAGTTAATTTAAACTGTACTTCAAATACAAGTCAACAAATCGAATCTTTGATTTTTATATATTTTTGGTTTATCCAACGGTAAATATAAATCTGTAAATTATTTTAAAATTAGAGTAAATTTTTGATAAAAAACATTGATAATGCAGCATGTTTCTCTCAAAAATATACAATTATCTATTTTACATAAAAGTTTTCAACCTGTCCATCCCAACAACCAAATCTAACACTTCCTACAAGAAACTACTTAATAAAAAATTTGAGGAAGGAAAGGGTTAAAACAGGGAAAAGAATTTACAAAATACGTAAATTTCACAGTAATTGAAATTAAACATTTCATATAGAGTAACTTACATTTATCTAAAACATTTAAATATATCTTTATACAGAAATTTAATGTAGTAAAATATAGCTATGATTGAACTTAAAGACTCTAGTCTTCTTTGAAGACATCTTTAAAGACTTTACACATAGAATATGCTTATACAATACATTCTGCTGAAGGTTAGGCAAAGCGCTTTCTTATCAACCACACAGGTAGCACATTCATCCTCCCGACACCGCATAACAGACCCAATCCTGCATACCCTTACGCACGGGGATAACTGCGCTTACGTGACAACCCTGTCAATGTTATCAGGGCTAATCATTGGCCTGATAACAGAAAACACTCTTCATACGTGTAACTCTATACACTGACTATCTCCATGGACTCTGGGAATAGCCATAATGTGTAGAGTTGAGCATGTGCTTGTAGTAGTAAGGATGAGGCATGCAGTTACTCATATGCATAAGTGTTTGCAGGATTAGTAACAGATTTGACTTAAAGTGAGTAATATTCCACCTGATCCTGGGCACTTAAGTCTATTGCATATCTTGCACTTTGACCATCCTGGCATCAGCAAGGCACAAGTGTAGAATCAGCAAAAGAAATCTGCAGCTCAGACTTCAGAGCAGACTATCACTCTAGCGTAATGAATTCCCTTCTCTTGCAGAACACCGGTAACCTTCACTAAAATTACTGAAAGTTACTCATCTCATTTTTAGAGGAAAAAAATCCTCATTCTTCCTCAAAGGAGAAGGATCAGTAGAACACATTACAATTACAAAGTGGCAACATAACAGTCAAACAATTACACATTAAAAGTGTCTTTTTTCTTTTCATTTGGCATCGATTTGAAGGTCAAGATATGACAATGACACTAAAAAAAAATACTCTTGACAATTAGTACCTTTCTGCCGTTTCCATATTCTGACAGTTCTTTGGGACGATCGAATTGCGGTGTTCATGTAACTGTTTGACACAAACAACTGCACAACTACCTTAAGCCAAGAGCTTCATTTTGATAGGCAGTATTCTGCACAAACAATAGGCTGCACTGTACATTCTTTGTGCCCTCACAACCATCTTTTATTTCAAAGGGAATTTGGGCTAAAGGATCAGAACCAAACCACTTTTTTAGTCTCCGTATCTACCTATTATAAACTGAAGAGACAGTTGTTTTTTTCTCTTCTATATAAAAATGCATTATGTATTTTATCTATGGAAGGAACACTGAATTAATTTCCCAATTGTTAAAAGTGATAAGTTAGGCTCTGTATACTTACGTACACATCTATTTGCATTAAAATATTGCCATTAAAGGTACACACATCTATGTTAGTGCACAAGAACATAATTTGTCTTAACGTTTGTGTGTGCCTGTATTTGGTATAGTAGATTAAAAAAAAAAAAAAATCTCTTAAAGAGCTTTGGCCCAGAGAACAAGAAAGGGAATGTTAGAGTGTGCTCTTCTCCAACTAGCAAATCAATGCATATTAAAACAAAAATACCTGGAACAAACCTGAAGCTGCAAACACAACAAGAAAGCAAATGAGATGCTGTAGCTGTAAGCTTAACAAAAAAAATAGGTTACTCAAAAGTGGCTAAACACAGGTGAAGTAATAAAATGTTATTAGCCAAAGAGATCTGACCTTGAGGCTTTCTTGCTAAGACAAATAGATCCTTTGACCTAAGATCAGCTTTGTTCTGCTTATCTTGTTGAATTCCCTTAATGAATACCTTGTGTCAATGAGAAGGTATAGAAAAAAAGGGAAAGAAAAAGTCGTATAGACAAAGCAGCATTTTTTCCAAACTGGCATAGATTTCACATTGAGGGCCCACGGACCCCTAGAACAGGTTGCAGTACTGTAAAATTAGTAGCTTTGTCACATGTTGCATAACATGCTATAGAAGATCCAACAGGCTGTGTTCACCCATGCATTGTGTGCACCTATACACACACACAGTGGCTTCCCCAAAAGAAAATCAGTCTTTTTTTTTTTTTTTTTCCTGTAAAAAAACCCCTCCCCTTTTTTTTTGTTGTTGTTGTTTTTTTTTTCCCCAAAAGCAACCAAACCAATCCTTGTAACTGTAAAAAGCTGGTGTCCACACACAGTCCTTTGAACCTCTGCACTCCTATGTCGCTCCTCAAGCGCGCTCCCCCCGGAGTTAGGTTGCACTGCTGCTGGAACAGGGGGTGCTCTGGGTGCTGCCAATGCTGTGCGCTGCACTGCTGTTCTCGGAGGCTGGCGGGGACGTAGGGACCTGCTGTCTTCCCGCTGTTTCCCCTGAGGGAAAGGGGAGAGAAAAAGGGAGGGTTGGGAGAAGGGAAGTTGAAAACGTTAGTTGTCATAGAAAACAATAATCCATTCCTTCCCAATCTTTGTTTTCTGGCGGTTTGTATTTCCACGCAATGAATATCGTGGGTGACAGACCTCAAACAGAGTACTGTTGAAAATGTGACTAGACACATGGGGAAAACAACACTGCTGTTTTCTTAAGTGTTTTAAAAGCAGTTGATGGAAACTGCCAAGACAGATAATGTCCATCTTCTGTTGTCAGCTGTCACTCAAATGGGTCCTGTTACATGACTCAGACCACTTTATAGCTTTGTTGTTTCATGGAAAAAGACCAATGAAGTGTAGGCTTTCATTTTAATGCCAGTTTATAGAGTAGCATATTTACTAAAAGTGGACCTGAAGACAATGTTCTTCAGTCAGCTGGATACCACATATCCTGAGACATGGCCAGTTTTCTTCGCATAGCAAAACAACAGGCCACCCTGCAAGCTTGACTTGATTTACTCTGAATATAACATGCAGGAAGCTCCCCTATAGCTACCACAGTATGTATAGCACTTATAACCTCTAGTGGGAACAAGTCTCACCATTTCTTGTTAATTGTTTGCTGACAATAAATTAAAAGCCCTTTGTTATTTGGATTGCCAAATCAAGCACTAGGAGCTAAAGCCAGATTTATGGCTCCTGATAAAACCTCGTTTTTTGTCTACCCTCCTCACGCCCTTTCTGCACCTGTGTCTGGGCTCCTATGGAAAAAATCTAGCTCTCAGCTAGCATGGAAATAAAAATTACACCATTATGGGAATGCACAAAAGATCATAATGAGGCCTAGTAGGAAACCGTAACTGTGGCACTTTTTAAGTTACAGTGCTCCAATCTGCAACCTTAGTAATATTACAAAATAGTCTCTTCAAAACAGATGGCAAGACCAAGTTTATATGCTGTGCACTGTAGCTGCCCCCTCCCTCAAGCTCATGTCTCAGGACGTAAACCCATGATCTCAGGAGGGTAATATGGACAGAACGCTGCGGCTTGAGCTGCAGACCGACCGTGGCAGCCAGCACCAGCACGGCTGCTTTCCCAGCAAAGGAGCAAGACGGAAATGTTTTGCCGGATCATGGGCAGAAACAACTGGGAAAAATCAAAGACTGGTACATCTCCTGCCTCGTGAGTTTATAGTGACGCAGATCTCCTGCTTCACGTTGCCCTAGGTTATCCGAAACCTTATGCCATGGGCCAGGTCTGCAGAGTCCAGTTTTTCTTCCCTGCTCAGGATTCAGTAGCACTCCCCGTTCCCCAGCGATTGCTTCAGTGACAGGTTGAAGGCCGGAGGCACAGCCTGCATCCAGAGGGTTACAGAGCCGGGACGAGCCAGCTTCCTCCCACAGGAGCTGCTCTGGCACATCCCCATGCCCTGTGCGCTGCTGCCCAGCTGCCAGAGCCCCGAGCTCCTCCGGAATGCGGCCGCGGAGGAAGTGTGCCTTTAACGCTTTCTGTCTCGGGCCAGAAAACGTCCTTCTGCAGGCTGCTCACTATTCCGAGGTCTGCTGCAAACAAGGGAGGTCTGAGGATTTCTCACAGCAGAGGTTGCAAGTGCTCTTTGTAATGGAAACCAGCGGGTTCGCTGCTAGCTCATGCCACAGCTGTAAGTGCATGTAAAGCCCCACAATGCACAGCTCTTGCCTTACACCCCACTGGTTTAGGAATGGGGAGGAAAGAAAGGACGGGACAGGACAGAAAAACAACAAACTAAACCACTAAACATCACCCAGGAGGCCAATGAAATGTTTAAAAAGAGAGTCAGGATCTCACTCTTGAATTCAACACTAAGTCCAGTCATTTAGTGAGCACATTTCGACTTTGCTTTTCCCATTGCGAGAAATCACTACATAAATCATATACGAGCGGCAGATTTCTGCTCATGGGCATCAGGGCAGAATCTACCCCCAGTCATCTGCAAACAAAATGTGTTTCAGCTCTAAGTTGCATTGGAAACAGCTTTGCAGCCCATCAGAATAAACTGTATAAAAATCAATGTCTCTGTCATGGTGCTGTAAAAGCTTTCATAAGCCTTGTTTGGATGTTTTTCCCTCCCTGCTTGCTCCCTTCTCCTCCAGTTGTTTGTGTACACGTCTTCCTTCCTTTTGTACTACGGGAGATATTTATAAAGGCAGTGATAAGCAAACTCCCTTTCACTAAAACAAAACAACTGAACACAAACATCAGAAGACAGCAAGCCGGCCGACCCTACCCGCAGCAGCACCAGGAGAAGCCGCTGCGGCCGCGCAGAGGGACGGCAGCCACCCCGCTCCCCCAGCCGGGCCCCCGGCCGCCCGCCCGCTCTCCTTCCAGCTCCGCTGTCACCCATTTTACAAACCACATGATTGCACACAGCTTTGCGTCAGCCTCGGCATGTCAATACAATCCGTATGCGTTTAACCATAAATTCATTTATAAGCTAAACACATGTTGTTTTTATTTTATGGCAAAGTGACAGGCGCAGTGCCGGAGTCCCTGTGCGAGCCCAACAGCTCGCTCTACTCCTCCCGCCTCCTCTGGAAAGCATCTTCGGAGGCACCTTCCCTTCAGTTTGGGATGGGAGCCCCCTGCTCTCCGCTGTAATTCAGTTGCCTCTGCAGCATCTCATTTCTAGAGCATGACCAGCAGCTCTGATATACCACAATCTCTTGTGGAAGAGTAACAAATTCTCAATGTCCTGAACGAAAAAGATCCAAATCCCGGTGACGATATGAACACAGTCTTGCAGCTACATTTGGACTGGCTGATTTTTCCTACATTTTATTTTCTCAACACCTAGCTAATCTGTAGCGAAGTATTTTTTAAAGAATATTCATGAAAAGGATGTAAAGAAATGTAAGTTATTACTGAAGGAGCATTCCCCATCTGTCTTTTTCATGTAAACAGCTTCATGTATCTCATGTTACCGAACCAGAACTGCTCCAAATGGACATGTCTCATCTATTGACAGTAAACAAGCTTTTACCCATCTGAATGCGACAGCGTGCTCTTTATTATTCACACTTAGGAAAGCTGCCAGTTGTACTCCCTGTCCAGGAAGTCTGAATGTTTGCTTTTCTATCTCCGTTTGCCAAATATAATTGGTTGCTATGTCAGTTTATTTTAAATCAGATCCCATAAAAAAGGGAGAGGTGGGGGAGGAGGGACGCTTTTAACTTCTCAGATTTTGGAACATTTTATCCTGTTAACTTCCAGCACTGCCTGGAGAAGAAGGAAAGCACGCTTTCTAAGAGAATGAAGCCACTGATATTCTCTGTAACACAGCATTCACTTTACTTGGTTTAGAAGCCTCGTTAGCTAATCAGACTTGCGCATGTCCCTTCCTAAACATAGTCAATTATCCCTACAAAGGCAGATATTTACATGCTTAAATTTTGAAGGGGTTCTGCATCTACATACACCACAGGATCTTTCCTTCTTTGTAAGCTTCCTAGGTAAATTGGGTGAATTGTAGCAAATGTCTGCTACTTTCTCTTTGTTCTTGGGTCCCCTCCAGGCAGAACCAACACCACTGTGGAAAGCTTTCAGCCACCTTTAACTGACTGAAGAAAGGATCAAAAGTACAGAGTCCTTTGCAGAAAAGTTGGCTAAAATTCCTCCTCCGTTGCCATAATCTTAACTTCCCCCCTCCTCTTCCTCTACTACCTGTGTATCTTAGGTCATCTGTACTCCATGTTGAATTGTTTCAGAGAATCTAGAGCATTTTAAAGCACATTCATCACCAGCAGTAGCTTTTGTCCATGCTCTGAGTATCACCGAAACAGTTTTAGAACGAACTCATATTTTCCAATCTTTGGTGTAAATCATGTGTTAGAAACTCCGTGCTACTTGCAACAAAAGATGAGATTTCAGAACACAATGCAGCAGTATATGAATTCTCTAATGGCAAAAGACAGCCGCTCCGTAGATGAAATTTAGATTATCTTCTTTTTTTTCTGCTTCTTATTTTAATAAAAGTCTGCAGTGAGCTCTAAAATGTTTCCACTGCAGCTGGATTATCTTGTCTGCCACAGCAGTTGTCCTCTACGAGACTGTACCTGCCAGAGCCTTCACTGTACTCTGCTGCAAGTTGTGCTTTGTAGATACAAGATACTACGCACAGAAAAGTCATGTGCACAGGAACATAGGGTTACTTTCACAATCCTTTGAAAATCTGAACCAGATAACTTCATAGATATTATTTACCATTTCTGTGATTCTCTGATCTGGTGAGCTACAATGTCCCGTTCCTTTCTTTTCTTCTCATTTATTACTTTTTGTCTGGCCTTTTTCTCTACTTATTTTCATCTCTCAAACACAGAGCCAGAGCAGCTGCCCTCTCCACTACTTATGCATGGTCACTAAGACTGATGCACTTTGTTAATATAATTCTTTTAATGGGATTGGTCCAAGTCCTATTACTGCTGAAGGATTTATCATGTTGGCTTCCCAGTGTTCCTTGACTACTGACAAAAAACATGTGTCTATAGATGGTTCTGTATATGAACAGACATTGAACTTCCACAAATGGAGGACCAACGATATTAATTTAACAATTGTTTTAATTTTCTGTTAATAAAGGCTACCTATCTGGAAATTACCTTCTCAACTTACACATTTATGCATTGAAATTGCACTTACTTTTCTTCCACAACGTTTCAGTAGTATATGCGGCAGAATTATACTATTTATGTGTATTATCACAACCTTTAAATTTTCCACATTTGCCTCAATTCCAAACAAGCTTCATACACAGCTGATGCACTGAGAAGTATTAAACTGCTTATACAAAGTTGTTGTACTGCCAACTGGAAAAAAACCCACAGGATTTTTTTCCAAATTAACATAAGCTCATGGGTCATAATATTTACAGAAGCTCTGACCTGACAGGGCCGGATTCTCACTCCTAAATAGCTTCTATGAGGTTTTAGATGCTGAAAAAACCCTGCAGTGTGCTATGGGAGAATTCCAGTGCTCCAGAGCTGCACAGGTTTGGAGTAATTGACCTCACATTCTCCCCATCTCCCAGATATCTTGGCAGGGTCTGGTGAGGTCAAAAGTGGAAGTAGCTGGGAGTCCAGCATGCTGTAGGGATCCTGAGATATCCCGTAATCCACAAGCAGCCAAGGTCAGATGCTGCAAATCAAGGCCCCATCAGTGTCCAGGCTTTGTCTGTACCACCTTGCAGATTACATGCAACAGAAAGCTCCCAAAACTCCCTCTTCTTCCAGTACAGTATTGCATGTCTGCTAATGTAGTTTAGTACGGGAAAAAATTCTGAGGAGATACTGAAAAATTATGCATGCATAATGGCTGCACCATCTCCTCCGAAGTACAGAGGAATAAATAATTGCGGCAAAAATTCTATGTAATCAAGGCCCAAGAAACATTTTCAAGTCTAGTTCTATTCGGAGTATGTCTATGCAAATAAAGCATTCTCTTAGCCATTTGGCCCACTCCTTGTGCTGATCACATCACATTCCCAGTCACATCTGCCTGATTTAGTAAGTGCAAAAAATTTTGAAAAAGGGAATATGGGAACCAAAAGGGATCCATTAACTGAAATGTTAACTAAACTTGAAATACAGGGATGCTACTAATGATAATGCACAAGCCAGGAATACTCAGCTTTACTCATGTCCCAGGTGCATTTTCAAGATCTGCGTTTAAAATTATTTTAGCAAATTTTAAATCATGTTCATAACACGTAACACCTCCCTTTAGGGAAGGGCGGGTATCAATCTGCTGATATGCACCAACTGGCTCATGGGAGAAGCTGCTGGAAAACACCCTAATAAGAACAGAGAGGAAGAATGAAAGTCCAGGATAGCCATTGCTGGCCCCCCTCCCCTTTCCTCCCACCTTGCAAGAGTTCAGCCCACAGCACAGTTCCTGCAGCGTGATCTGCACTGAGGTCTGTAACAGCCCTCATACTCACCTGTGTGAGAGTAGATAAACCAGAGTGCTCCTGTTAGCAGGGCTCCAATTACAAATGCCGCAAAGGCAATGCCCACAACAGTCAGCGTGTCCAGACCGTAGAACACAGCTGCAAGTTAAACACACATAACAAGGACTTTTTATTTTCAGTAGCAAATCCCGTTTCACAAAAATTCACCCTTACACTTTCACGGAGAAGTTTTTTAAAAATTCATAGTTAATTAAGCACCATTTTAAGGAACTGACTAGCAGATTTGCATCAAGGAAATAAAAGTGATGCTCTCAGAGGGTGGCTTCAGTCCAACCAACTGTTCCACATCACAAAGCAAAACCCGAGCTCAGCACACCCAAATCTGGAAAACATTGCAAAAACTAAGCATTTTCAGTTGGCTGTTAATAACTTGCTTGCAATTAAATATCCATTTATCTTAAAAATGTGTTCTAAAAAGGCTGAGGTTTTTTTGCAAAAGGTGCTTTTCATTTAAATACCCTAACATTCAAGCAAACTTTCCCCTACATCTCCTGCAAGTTCAGTTTGAAATCTAGGTGGAGAACGGAACTGCTGTTAAGAGGGAAGAGATGCCAGCAAAAAGTCAGCGAAAACATAAATAGAAACAATTGTTTTTCACATTTGGCAATGCTTTCAATAACTGAAATTAATTCCAGAACACAAAAATAGAACCACACACACACACGCAAATCATTTTCTAGGGGAGAGGCCCTTTTGCAGTACCATTTCAAGGGTAACAGCATCTGGTTCCTGGATGTATTGCCCCCCAGTGTTAACCATGCAAACAGAGAAACTTTCGGCTTTTGTGTTTTCCTTTTTGGTGATTAGAAATACTTCAAAAAATAATGACTACTCTTTTAGCAATCATTTGGGGAAATTTCTTCTTACAAAATCGCTTTCTAGTTTCAGTATTTTTAATGTCTCCCAGTGCATAAAATGGCTTAGGCCTGTGAATAACATTTTACTGACTATGCTGGCCAGGAAATGAACTGACTGGATCTTTTCAGTAGTATCCTTCAGTGGAATTTCAGTTCTCAAAACACAACCAACACCCTTACTTTACATGTTCCTGCATCCAGCAGATGTCCCTATGGACATCCCCCAGCCCAACAGCTCCTGAGATCCTCAGGGCCATTCCCCGTTTACAAATGTCTTCTCCAGCAGTTCCTGTTGGCAGGGACCTTCAGGACCCGTTTCTGGGTGCCTGCGACTAAGTTTGCATATACAGCACCTGACAGCAGCTTAGAAGGTTTTTCTCCCATTTCTTCTATGAGAATATTTCTGATTCCTTTGGCCACATCTGGTCATTTTAAATGCAAACAGAACAGACTCTCTGAAACCCAACTGTTTTTCCCACAAGACACCAGCCAGTGTCCTCTCTTCTTAGAAGAAAAATTGAGGGAGAGGAGAAAGTCACATGGAAGGTGAAATGGCAGAAGCATAATTCCTTATTCCCCTTGCTATTCTGAGCAAATTCAGTGCCAAAGACATAGGGACAGGAGCAGAGGAAAAAACCCTTCTTTGCACTTCCTCCTCTAATCTTCCCTTTTCTCCCTTCATTCTTGTTTTTGGCTACAAACAATCTTCGCCTTCCTGTTCATTATTGTCTTCTAGCACTGCTTCTCTCCTTTTCTTCCCTTCCTGGGTCAGTAATTGACCCTGGTTAATTCACTACGCCAAGACAACAGAAAATAAAGAAAGAAATTAATCTGTACCGAGTGAGTGATCTCATCTACTGCATGACCTGTAAATGCTGGTGCCAGAGTAACTAGGGATGTGGCCAGCTGCAGTGCAGGGTAGGAGCGAGGCTTGGAGTAGGACACAGGAGCTCCGTAAGATGGCATTGCTGCTGAAACCCTGGTATGGGGAAGCAGTGGACTCAGCAGAGAAGGGGGAAATAACACACATGCACACCAGCAAATGAACTTGCTAAGGCTGAGACTCTCAATGGTGTTCTCCCAAATCTGATTTTTCACATGCGCAAGAGGTCACTAAATGCTGATGGGAATCTCTCTATCAGCAATACAGTCAGAATTCTGTTCTGCCTCAGAATTTAACTCATACACTCAGAAAGCTTGCAGAAATTTTCTTCATTGATCTAATACTTTCTAGACAAAAGTTTAAGGCTTAAAAGAGACTGGTTTAAGAGTTACTTACGTGGCTGTCTCACATTTGGCTTTGGAAGGGAAGGATCTAATTCAAAAAAAACAAAACAAAAACCACAGAACATTAATCAGACGGAGTTCCACATACAGCCTACAAACTATGTAAGCAACCATCAGGATCTGAACTGACAGAAAGACATTAATTGTAATTTTTACAAACCAGGAACTTCAGGAAAAACGGCCTGAATTCAATAACCTTGCTCAGCTCAGAAAAATTCTATTCATACATTGATCACTCCTCAGAGGAACATATCTACGGTATAGTTCACGCAGCATATATTTTGCTGGCAAGTACACTGCAACCTTTCCCACCCAAGATGTCATCAGGTCTGAACCGCAGTAACCCCAGTTATCCCAATCTAGAGCTCTTAAAGAGCATGGTCTGCAAGGGTGGTTTTAGGGTGACTACACTCATCTAACTATTCATTAATCACCAACATGAGATACCAGCGTACTAAAGGACAAATAAAAAAAAAAAAAAAGAAAGAAAGAAAATCAAACACTGGCAATCATCTCTAAAGAAAAGTCAGTATTATAGCATGATATACACTGCTTTGTCCAAATTGCATGACTGTATGTTGATTCACACATTTTCCTGAGTCGTACTTGGTATTCTGTCTTAGAAGTTGAGTGGTTCTTCTGTTTTGCTTTTTAATTGTATATAGGAAATAAAAGATCATGGCTGTTATATCAAAGCTATTATTCTTGGCAAGAATATCAAATATCATCAGCAGCAGCAGCACGTAACAGAAAGAGACAAGTAAACATATGTCAAAAAATGAAGAATCTTCCCTTCTTTTCCATAACTGGCTTCTCTTACCTTTCTCCAAGAATGTCACCTCAAGCAGAAGAGCCAGAGATTCTGGCTTCAGACCTGAGGACCTGTTTGGTTAGCTGCAGTTTGCTTCTGGATTGCCCAGTAACCTAGGGATCTCATTTAAATTCTGGCCTATCTGAGTGTGTTCAGTACAACAGCTGTAAAAGGATTTGATAAGACAGTGTCCCAATACCTGCTTTTGTATCTTTAGCAACTGAAAAAAAAAGAAGTTTAATTGCTATGTAAATACAGCGGCTCAAAAATACTGAAAATAAATTTATTTATTCATTTAAAGTATTCTTAAACCAAGACTATGCTTCTAACTTCTCAAAACCCAAATGGCAGCACTAAACTGCGAGCAATATCCTATAAAATCATTAGGGTCTGAGACTCACGTGCCTACAATATCCAAAAAAGCATTTTATTAAAGTGCATTATGGTCACTTGTTCTAACACATGAGTACCTCTTCCAGATCCTCTTGGCAGGATGGTAGGAAACAGGTGGAACAGTAGTAGGAAACAGGTGAGAACACAGAGAGGTGTGCGTGGGGTGGTGTGTGTGTGCATGCACAAAGAAGCTGAAAAGTCGTCAAGCACACTTAATAGCAAAAGCATAACTGAATGTAAGATTTGTGAGGAGGGCTGGACTGAAACCAAGGAGCACAGAACAGTACAAACATGGGTAAAGGCACTATCAGATTGTCCAAACACTCCACTAGCATATTCCAAGTGCCAAGAAAATGCCTTCTGAGCTGAGGGGAGAATGAATTTTCCATGCTCATTCTGTCATTGGCCTCTCTACAGAGAATATGAAGTCTGCTAATTAATGATAGGCTGTGTAGCCCATTATCAATTCTCCCCAGTATACAGTTCTTACATGTATTTTAATGTGGTTTGCTCAGAGCAACACAGAAGCAGTGGGAATCCTTGAGGTCCAGGAAAAGCACCTAATTTAAAAACATCAGCAGCCAGCCTTTAGAAATGATTTTCTACACATTTGTAGGACAGTGACACTTGTTAGCTGCTCGCTTGAACCCTTTTCTATGACCTTATTTCCTTTTGCTGTAGAAATAATAATCTAAAGTTTCTACACTTAGCAAAAATCTGAACAATGGGATTGGTAGATTATTTCAACAAAAGAACATGTATTTCCTAGCATTTAAATGGCCATCCATATGCCTTTCATTGAAGT